TAATTTTAAGATAATAACAATCAATTTTCTGGTAAACTTTTGATGCGCTTATCATATTGTACTCATGCACTTTCCTTTATTCTTTTAGTTTACTATTTTGCAAATACACGCAACATAATAAAACATCGAAATAATTACGATGCTTTTGGAAGAAAAATGCATTTCATTTTATAAAAAAAGTAATGTAAAGTTATGAAGTATGTGATATAATAATAGTGCACTTTTGTACCTATGTACAATGCACACTATAAAGTGCATTTTATTTTAAAAAAGTGTGTGAGTGTGGAAACTAAACTTCGTGCATCGTTTTAACATAAAATGTGCACCATGAGATAAATGTATAGTAATTGCAACAAATAATATAATAAACACTTTTACCAATAAAATAATGTAAATAATTTGAAACAAAATAAATATGCACTTTTAGTGCTTCGAACGTGCAATTAGATCAAAATCAATGCTGAATTTCGGGAATAAAATTTAAACATAAGATGCACATATCTAATTAACTTCATACAAAGTTTTGAATTGATTGCAAAACTTTTAAATATAATGCACCTATATTCTTTTAACGATGCACAATTAATATATGACTCGCTTCTTTAAATTTTTGAAGAAGTGCATTATGTTAACAGGAAATGTGCATCATAATCCGAATAGAATTGCAATGACAAATTGTATACTTTGCAGTAAAAATAGATGCACAAATTCATACAAATATTTTTTTAAATAACTTATCCGAATTTTGTGTGATAGAATGTTAAAATGGAAATAAATTAACGAAACATTTAATAGTATAAATGATCCTAATAATGAGAAGCTATTAGTTATCCTATTTAATAGGATGACTTCCAAAGTTAGTAGTTTATGCGTGACTTTCTTGCCAACCACTTGTATGAACTTTACCTTTGTGCCCTTAATTAATTATCATGGTTCATTCTTATCATTTTAATCACACACGTTAGGCAATAATTATGGAGGAAAGAGATAACTAAGATTAAATAATAGCCATCCGATTCAATTAATCAAAAGTTAGATTTTATTCTTATTTCTCTCCTGGAGCTCCTTTCTCACAGGAACCAATCATATAGAATAAGGATCAAATAAGAAGAGTGCTTATCGTAAGAAGTGAGAATGCATCTGGTGCATTCAATTTAATATCTAAAGGCTGAAAACGTGCAAAAAATATTTAAAAAATGATGCTAGACGTGGTGGCATTTCCGTAATTAATCGGAACTTTTCTGCCATCGCAAAAAGTGCATCAGATTAGCAAAAAAGTGCATCAGAAAGAGGTAAATGTGACACTTCTCACGTTAAGATGTCTTCTTATTAGAACCTAATCCTATATATATATATATATATATATATATATATATATATATAGGGGAGAGTTCAAATAAAAAGACATTTTCCCATGCAAAGTGCGAAATTTGCACTTTTTCATGTTTCGCTTGCACTTTTGCTTGTTTTCGTTGCACTTTTTCGCGTCAGCGAAAAAAATTGGTTTATTTTCAAAACTGCCACTATGGTTTTGGCCGAATTTGGCCAAAATCGCAATGTTGAAAAAGTGCAACGGAAACACAAAAAAGTGAAAGCGAAACATGAAAAAGTGCAAATTTCGCACTTTGCACGGGAAAATGTATTTTTATTTGAACTCTTCCCTATATATATATATATATATATATATATATATATATATATATATATATATATATATATATATATATAGGGAGTGGTTCCGGTAAGAACGGATCTTAGGAGAAAAATGAGAACGAATCTGGACCGTTGAATTGAATTATGTGAAACTAAATTGTGCATTTGGTGAAACCGCAATGTGCAATAGATGATATTTAAATGTGCAGAATAAAAATTTAAACTGACGTGTGCATTAGGTGAAACTGAAATGTGCAGAATAAGGCGTACAAAAATAACATCACATCGTACCTTTTGTTGTGCACATTTTAGTTTCATCTAATGCACATTTCAAATTCACCTAATGCACAATTTAGCTTCACATAATGCCACTTTGTGTTGCACATTTCAATTTCACTTATTACACATGACAACTTCATCTAATGCACCTTGAATTTCACATAAAACAAATCTAACGGTCCATATTCATTCTCATTTTGCTCATAAGATCATGTTCTTATTTGAACCAAAACATATATATATATATATATATATATATATATATATATATATATATATATATATATAAGTTCAAGTGAGAATATCATCTTAGGAGAGAAATAAGAATGATCTTGAGCCGTTGGATTGGAGCATTATTGTCATTAATTAATTAATTCGTATGAGGCTAGAAAAGTAATTCCAAACGCTTTCCTTCTAAGATTAAATTCTTACGTTTTAGCATTGATGATATTATTTCTCTTGTTTTATTTATTTTATTTTATCCATTTACATTCCTTTCCTCTTCTCCATCACATTGTAGTTTCTCCAACACTCCAACAAACTTCATTCTAGCTTTCCCATAATTCTTCAAATTCTTCCTAAAAATCTCTCACTCTCATTTTTCTATTGTTTTTCTTTTGTTGATGCAAAGTATGTAAATTCTTCTCCGGAGCATGTCATCATTGATTCTCCACATGCATGATCATAATATGACAATTTAGTAACAAATTGTCACTGCCGTTGCCGCCATGTCTCAAATGGTTTTGTGCATCATTTTAATAACAAATGTGCATCACAAACCGTGCATCATTTTAACGAATAATGTGCATCATGATCTAAAATAAATTTAAGATATACTAGCTATGCACTCTCACTTATTCAAGTGTGCAATTTTGTAAAAATATACGCAACTTTGAGAATAAAATTGAAGTAAAATATACATATACTTAAGTAACTTCGGAGAGTATACAAATGGGTTGAAGAATTAAAAAAAGAATGATCTTAACTATGGGGTATTTTTTTTTTGAAAATAAAAATATGGTTAAAATCTTAATGGATCGGAATTGAAGTTGCACAAAATTTGAATAGAAGTGCATATATAAAACTTCTCGAGTTAAATGCAATTATTTTCAATATGGTGCACCTGGATTCATTTATTGTTGCACGCTTTACAAGTTTTTGAAGATATGCACTGTTTTAACAACAAATGTGCAACATGTGAAGTGAAATTAGTTACACGTTAAAGTGCACTCTGAAATGTATAGTGCATATGTATACATGATGAATTGCATTTTTTGAATTTTTGCACGATTTTGTATATTCATTTTACAATTTCTTGCCTATATCAATATTTTAGTTTCCATACTTAAAGCGATTACTTTAATAAAGTATTTAATTTGAAATAAAAGAAAATTTGATTCAATTTGTAGAGAAACTTTATCAATTTTACGAAATGCACTTCTCTTATAATATTGATGCATAACAGTCCTATGAAAAATGCATATCTATTAATTAAAATGGAAAACTTAATAGGTAATTAAGTGCACTTCTCCATCCATTTACGTCATAATTTATGAAACCTAAGCATGCGGAATCAATTTACATTCCTTATAAAATGCATAAAACGTAATGCATTTTACGTTGAAAACAGTCCTACGAAATGCTTTCCTTATAAAATGCGTATTCATAATTTCAACCGCTCCTAATTGGAAAACTTCCAAATGAAAACAGTCCTACGAAATGCTTTCCTTATAATATGCTTAGTAAGGTAAGTGCATAACTAGTTTACGTCGTAAAAGCCCCTGTGATACAAATCAACCGTAATACATTTAATGCAAATTATTGCTTTCATTGATTTTTGAGATTTTGATAGTTAATGGAATTGTAAAATTTGACCATCGGATCAAAGATCTCAACGACTATCATGCTTTCTCATTTCTCTCCTCGAACATCTTTCTCACCGGAACCGTTCCCTATATATACATACATATATATATATATATGGAGCGGTTCCGGTAAGAAGGAATCTTAGGAGAGAAATGAGAACGAATCTGGACCGTTGGATTGAATTATGTGGAACTGAATTCTGCATTTGGTGAAACCGAAATATGCATTAGATGATATTGAAATGTGCAGAATTAAAATTTAAACTCACATGTGCATTACGTGAAACTGAAATATGCAGAATAAAAGGTACAAAAATAACATCACATCGTACCTTTTATTCTGCACATTTTAGTTTCATCTAGTGCACATTTCAAATTCACCTAATGCACAATTTAGTTTCACATAATATCACTACATTGTACCATTTGTGCTGCACGTGAGAACGTGAAAACGTGAGAACACCACAATTACCCTAACGTGTTGCACAATGAAACTTGTATATTGCACTTTTTTCGTGTTATCACAATATTTACCAAAATGCCATCGTGTGTATTTAATGTAGGCTTAATTCGAGCAAATTGAAAATGTGTAAGAGAATAGCTCCATTGTGCACCACATTGATTTAAATGTGAGTGTTCTCAAATTAAGCATCGTTCTCACTGGAACCGCACCCTATATATATATATATATATATATATATATATATATATATATATATATATATATATATATATATATATAGAGAGAGAGAGAGAGAGAGAGAGAGAGTCATTCTCCTGTCCAGCAGTTTTCTGCTCGAACACCGTCTGAACACTGCCGTTTGGGACGGTTCCCGGCGTAATGTTTTGATGAATTTTTTTGATCATGTTCCTCATCAAATCTAGTTTATCCATACTAAATTTCAGTTAAAAATTCGATCAGGAAGGTAGTCAAATAATTCGTTTAAGTTAATTGCGCCAAATTATACATAGAAAAACGCAGTTAACTTCAACGAATTATTTGACTGCCTTCTCGATCGAGTTTTGAGCTGAAATTTGGTATGGATAAACTAGACTTGATGAGGAACATGATCAAAAAATTTCATCAAAAAATTCTACCGGGAACCGCTCCAAACGGGGGTGTTCGGACGGAGTTCGGACCGGGAGGTGCTGGACTTGAGAATTTTCCTATATATATATATATATATATAAAGATGTAATAAATTAGTAATAAGTACGGAATAATAAATTAGTCTTTATTAATGAAAAAACCTATATGTGACAAATTAAATACAAGTGATGTTTATCAGTGTAAAACCTATGTAGAAAGTATAGTAGGATGAATTATATTGGATGGATGGGCGGCTAATTGATGAATAACTAACGTACACATAATATAGTATATGTGATCGGATTGATCGAATTGGATGAAGGTGGTGCTAATTAATAGTTATATATACTAAGCTAAGCCAGTTTAGAGGGTGCGAAGGTAACTAGCTTCTTCTCCGTGGCACGGGGCTTGACCATAACTTCCGCATCGAACGTCTTGGTGGCGCCGGCAGATGTTGTGGCGGTGATGCGGAGGTAATATTTCATTCCGGCAACCACCTGCTTCTCGGCCTTGATGACCTCAGAGAAGGTGATGGAGCCGCTGTCGCTACCCTGCTCGACTAATTTCTTCTCCTTCAGCCCCTTGTTATACTCTGACACGCAGTACTTCCCCAATTCCTGGACTTGCTTGTTTGCCTTTGCGTCAGCAATCTCCGTTCTTCCGCCTACTTGCGCATTCGCCATGACTACCAGGGAAGCTGCAGCCAACGCCAAGAGCCCGACCTTATTCGCCATTTTTTTGGTATTTTCTCTTTCTTATTTATTTATTTATTTATTCGGTTGTGTATATATAGTGTTTGTGTCAATCAAAGATGAGGTTTATATATACCAAGTGTGCATGTAAGTTTGTGGAGGAGCATGTTAAGAGGGGTTCATTTGGCGATATGCATGTTAATCCTCTTAATAATTAAACCGACTGAACAACGAGAAAGAGGTTAAAGCATCATCACACAAACAAGGCTACATATATAATTACTCTCTTCCTCCCAAATTCATTATTAACAAAGTGTGATACAATAATTCATATAACCTTTAATTTTACTTCCTAAAAAGGAGGATATATTGCTTCAAAAAAGAGGAGGATATAAGTGGTAATCTACTCATTAGTAAAACAAAAGTGCTAATGTGCTTTCATTTCCTTATCAAAAAGGAAAACGTAACTATCATTTTTGGATAGCTCAAATATGAAATGCAAGATCATCATTTTGAAATGGAAGTAGTACTAATTATTAATCACACATTTTTTCTAAAATGTAACCCAAATTAAATTCATAGATACAAATGTGATTAATTAAAGTGACTACCAATCTAACATCATAGTCACTATAATGTAAAACTAAATAGGGAAATTGTCCTAAATATTTAGGAGTAAAAAATTAGAATTTCAAAATAGGGTTGCAATGTTTTTCTTCCCAAAATATGAGTTGTTGCAAACTTGCATCCATGATAGAAAAATATGGCAATTAATGGCACTAAATACATAATGTAATGTTAATGCCTAGTAGTGCAACTGTTTGACAATAACTATGACTCCAAGAGCCAAGTACCTTGTGGTCGGATGACATCACTGTGATACTCCCATGGAGGTCACATGTTCGAATCTCATCCCACTTCAAGGATGTTAGCCTTAACAGAACAGATACTATAATAAGTTAGAAAGATTTGCCAAAAAAAATATGACTCAAAGATGGCAACAAATACTTTCATGTTACTCCTATTTCGGGGGAAAAACATAACAAACTTATTTTGGAATTGGAAAACATGTTTAGTCCTATTTCATAAACTTTACCAACTAAATATAATCATAGTAATAAAAAGTTATTAGTACCATCCTTATATATAAAATGACACATTTTAATTCATCACATGTATTTTAATAATATAGAGTATCGTTAATTATCAGACCATTGTGACAATAGTTTATGATCCATTTTTATCCATTTTGGTTTCCATTGTTAGATCTTAATTTTATTTGAAACTGGACACTTCAAGTTCACTTTTTCGCCTCCGACACATCTAACGGTCAAATATTAATTTAGGATCACTAGTGGAAAAACGTCAAATAGAGGCGCTTCGTTTGAGGCGCTTTTCAGCACAAACGCCTCTATTTGGCGTTAAAATTATTATTTTAAAATTTTTTAAAACCGTGCGGCGCTTATTGAAAAAAAGCGTCTCCAATAATTTTTTTTAAATTTTTTTTTTAACTCGTGCGGCGCTTTCTTTTGAGAAGCGCCTCCGATTTGATTCCCGGTTTTTTTTTTTTGAAATCCGTCCACTCGTGCGGCGCTTAGGGAAAGAAGCGCCTCTAATTGCCCCGGTTTTTTTGGAATTGGGCCACGCGTGCGGCGCTTGGGTAGAAGCGCCTCTAAGTTCCCCGGTTTAAATGGAATTGGGCCACGCGTGCGGCGCTTGGGCTAGAAGCGCCTCTAAAATTTCGTATTTTTTTAAAAAAAAATTGCTGCGTGCGGCGCTTTTCTGTAAGAAACGCCTCCATTTTTAAACAAAAAAAAATACCCCGTCGTCCAAACCTAGCCGCAGCTGGAAACGGAAACACCTGGGAACGGAAATAGCAGCCGCTCGCGACCTTTCGACCGCACCGCCGCCCGCGACCTTTCGCCCGCACCGCCGCACCGCCGCCCGCGACCTTTCGACCGCACCGCCGCCCGCACGTACGCCGTAGGCTCGCTCGCCGCCGCTGCACGCCTGCAACTACTCCGGCACGCCGTCGACTTCTCCGGCTCCCCGTCGACTTCTCCGGCCCGCATCCCAGGTCAGTTTATTTTTTAATTAAGTTTTTGGTATATTTTGGTTGATTTCACTTTTATTTGATTTTAGTTTAAATTTTAGTTTAAATGTTTTCAGATTAATGTATATTACATATGAGATTCTATTAGCTGTTATGAAACGATGCTATCATTAGTTGTTTTTATAACTTAGATGTTCACGATTAACTATTAAGACATAAAATAACTATTAAGGATAACAATAAAAACATATTACATTCGTTCATATTTAATTGCAACAATTTGTCTTTCACGTTTGTTAACACGCAACTTTGATTGTAATTATACTTAATTATGTATTAATAAACGTTTTAAAATTTTAATATTTTAGATGTTCTCTTTAAGAGAATTTTAACAATATTTTAAACATAATATTTTGATTGTAATTATACTTAATTATATATATGTATATATATATATATATATGTGTGTGTGTGTGTGTAAACAAATGTCCAGGTCCAGAATTCCGGTCCAGAACCGCCGTTCGGACAGCGGAGTTTGGGCCTCTTCCAGGTGGAATGTTTCGATGATTTTTTTTGTGCATGTTCTTCATTAAGTCTAGCTTATCCATAAAAAATTTCAGCAAAAATTCAATCGGGAAGGCAGTCAAATAATTTTTGTATATTTTGGCACAGTTATCTTCCAAAAATTATTTGACTGCCTTCCGAGTTGAATTTTTAGTTGAAAGTTTTTGTAGATAAACTAGACTTGATGAAGAACATGCCTAAAAATGTTCATCGAACAATTCTACCGGGAAAGGGTCCAAAATCCGTCGTTCGGACGATGGTTCCGGTCAGGAATTCCTCTCTCTCTCTCTCTCTCTCTATATATATATATATATATATAATTATGTATATACTCTCTCTCTCTCTCTCTCTCTCTCTCTATATATATATATATATATATATATATATATATATATGGGATGATTCAAATACAAAGATCTCTTCTCATGCAAAGTGAGAATGAATCTTGTACATTCATTTCCTCACCTAACGGCTCAAAATGAGTAAAAATGTACTACGTACTAAATTCGACAAAAATCGCGATGACAATTTCGTAAATAAACCATATTTTTTCACACCGTGAAAAAGTGCGACAGAAACACGAAAAAGTGCAAGTGGAACATGAAAAAGTGCATATCTTCGCACTTTGCACGGGAAGATGTCTTTTTATTTGAACTCTTCCCTACATATATATGTATATGTTCGAGTTAGAAAATGATCTTAGGACAGTTAGATTGTATTCTATGAAATTGAATGTGCATTAAGTGAAACTGAAATGTGCATTAGGTGAAAATCAAAATGTTCAGCACAAAAGATAAGACACAGTTGTATTATGTGAATCTGAATTATGCATTAGGGAAAACTGAAATGTGCACCAGGTGAAACTGAAATGTGAAGAATAAAAACTATGATGCAGTGACATTTTTGTGCATTTTATTTTGCGCATTTCAATTTCACGTAATGAACATTTGAGTTATACATTTCGTTCTGCATATTTCAATTTCACTTAATGCATATTTCAGTTATACCAAATGCACAATTCAATTTCACACAATACAATCAGACGGTTCAGATTCATTCTCATTTCTCTCTTGAGAATCCTTTCTCACTATAACCCCCCATATATACACAAACAAACAAATATTCATGTCCCCTCAGATCGGACAAGAGAGTGATCCGATCACCTTAATTTGAGGTGGTTCCGAATGATATTTTTTGGTGAAATATTTTGTCTGCGAAAGGAAAGGAAAAAGACCTAAATAAACCCACTGGTCACGATTGCCGACAACAAGAAACCTTCTTCATCATCGAAAACACCATCACTCAAATTCTTCCAAAAGAGAAAGTAAATGGGAAGATATTTAATAACTGGATACTCCCTAACTCACTCTCTCTGCAGTATTCATTCATTCATTCATTGTCGATAAGTGGCAGGCAGGCAGTCTCCCAGGGCCTGCCGGAGGCCGGAGGGACATGAGGGGAGTGTTGGCGATCGAGGAACCACAGAACAACGCTGTGGCCTGAAATTCTCGATTTCTCGTTTTCGGTTAGTCCCTTTCCAACTTTCTCCACTGCTTCCCTGCTCCCGCTACCCCATCTGCTCCTGATCTCTCTCTCTCTCTCTCAAGGGTAACCCTTAGCTGATTTTTTCTGTTCTTCTATTATTCCCTCATCTTCCTCTCCTACTTGTCTTTTCAATTTTTCTTTATGAGCTGTATCTTTCTCTGTTTCAGCGTGAGTTTTCTCTAGTATTTCAGCTTCATCAGAAGAACTCCATTGCCACTTTATATGTTTGCTAACACTAATTATCCATTTGATCCTCTTTTTTGGCCGTTGCTCATCGGAAACGCCATCTGTAAGTCTTAGTTCGACGAAATTCTTTTACTTCACAATTGTCTTTACACTTGTACATCAATCATTTTCAAACTACGAGAAATAGATTTATTGCTATGTTGTTTTTTAGGTGCAGTTATTTTGATATTAAGGAATATTTTAATTTCACTGCAAGTCTACAAGGTAGGAATGCAGAATTCTTTGTGTTTGATTACTTTGTTTGGAGTCAGAGGTAGACAAAAAGGAGAGCCCAATTTTCTTTGGTCACATTTGGTAGAGTGGTGTTAGAATTGAACTCAAATAAGTAACCCTTAAATTCTAAAAATAGAGATAAGGGACTCCCAACCTAGGGCTACATTTTCTCTCTATATTTATCAATAAATGAACTTTTGGTGTCCTTTGCGCTTGATACCTTGTTCTTCAGAAAGAGGCCAGTTTCTTAATCTTAACACATATTTGTGGTGTAAATAGTGACCATATATGGCTACATGCAATAATCAGGTATGTATCTAAGTGAGCGATAAGAACAATGGCTAGAACCTTGTATCTAAGTCTACACATTCAACTCATTTCGTACAATGGTTGTCGCGAAATCAGCTGTTATGCAACCTGGTGATAAGTTAACTAAGATCCTTGCCAAAATTACTAAAGGGAAGCACAGAAAACCTCTAACTGAAAGGAAATATAAAATAAATGTCTTTCTGACCAAGAAAACATTTGCCGGAGTTTGTCTTGCATAAAGAATCTGTCTTGGACTTACTTTAGAGTTTTTATTTATTTTTCACAATTAGTTGTGTTTGTCAAATGTTTGGTCAACAAGTAATGTGTTCGTCCTCTTTAACAAAGTGGCAAAAAGAAATTTTAGATTAGGCTCTGTAAATGTTGAAATCGCCTTCGATCCTATTAATTCGTACCCAACAAAACTGTCATAACTCATAATTATGTAAGGTATTAGAGGATGCATTAAACATTTTGTTATTTGAACCAATATTTTCAATATATTGACAATCTGATAAAATGGTGTTGCCGGACAAATGTTGGATGCTTAATTCAGATATTGCAGAAGATTTGTGGTATTAAATAATGAACCTATGTGGAAAAGAATAAGGAAAAAATCAAATGTGGTGGTCTCTTGTGTGTTGGCAGCTTTGCTATTATGAGTATTCTTTTACAGTCCATTTGGAACCTGGAAAATGTTAGGTAATGAAAATAGGAAGGAACGTAAAGGGTGATTTTGGCAAGGAAGAAAATGCGCAGAAACCGAGAAAACAAAGAAATGTTTGAACTCAATAAATCAATTTTAGATATTTGTGTTCAAACTCATTATCTTTATAATTTTTATCATAGAAAAGATAAATGTTCTGCATATGTAAAACTTTAAAAAGTTTTAAGATAATTTGTCTTCTTTTGTATTTCTCTAGATAAAACCAAACAAAAGTACATCTTCCTTGACATCCCCCCTCCTTGCCTATTCCAGTCTACAAACATAGCATTAGTAAAAAGTTTTTCTTTCAGTTATTTGGAAAATCAATTCTAATTTTGACTAGATTTGCTTTGGTTTAGGTTCCCTGACTACACATCTCTTGAGAATCTTTGTTTTCTGGGCCTAACCCTTTCAGCTCGTATCTACTTCAAACAAGATCTACACGATGGCCAAACCTAATGGGATTATCTATTCTTCTCCAAAACCACCTCAGCCTCTTTTGTTATATGCGAACACACAAGATTTTGGGCATATCAAACAAAGTTTCTGGCAAGCTTATAGAAAGCCAAATATTGCTACACAAGGAACTTCTGTTCTATGCCACTGTACAGAAACTCGTCATGCTGAAAGAGAAGAGTCCATCAGACAGTATCTTGATTGTTCAGACTCATCCAAGTATGTTGTGATCAATTCTAATTTCTAAATAGTGATTTCTCAAGATTAAATTTCTTACACATCTAGTAGGGACTAAACTTCTAGGGTGTGTTTGGGTCCCTGAAAATGCTAAGGAAATATATTAGGGGGAGGGGAGTCGATAAGAGAACTGGATGGAAAGAAGATTCAAAAAAATAGACTAAAACTAAATAAATGTATCTTCGATTTTTTGTTAAAAGTCATTTAATTTAATTTACGTCTTCCGGTTATTAAATAAGTAATAAAAATGATAAATCTAAGTATATGTTATCATATATTTAAAAGTTAATCATGTTTTTTTTATTTACAGTTATACAATGAAAAGCCAAACATGATAAAATAACTTCCCTTAGATTTGTTTTCTTTGCCCAGCCTTTCCGACATCTGAACATACCCTTAGAGTTATAAATGGAAGACTAAAACGTGCAAGTAGCATTTTTGATCTGTTGTAAATGCGATATGGGCTCAGTGCTATTTAAAAAATTTATGCTGGTCCTGGATCAATGTCACCATTTATTTTGAAATGTTATTATTTTCACATATATCTTGTGTTAATAATGATCTTTTTCATTTCGGTGAAGAAAAGTAGTTGCATGCCCGTCTCATACAATTCACGTTTTCACCTATAACTTTTCTAGACTGCACGTCCAACTCTGATGCTTCCTTCTGCTATTTCATTGGTTAATAGTAATTTAACTTTACCTTTATAAATTGAGTTATAGTATGACTTACAGATTTTTTTTACTGAATCAGTATGCAAGGTGAGGATAAGCATCCAGCCCTGTCAGGGAGATGTGTTACTGCAAGTCAGGGATTAGCTGAAGCGTGCAAATTTGTTTATAATGATGCTAAGTTTGTAAATGAAAGGGCAAAAAATGACATCATACTGATTTCTCGGTAAATCATTTGCCACAATTATCGTGTATCATACTTAAATGCATAAGAGAAAGTACTTAGATGTTTATTTATTTATTAACAGTGGCATAATGAGGTTGGATGCTCGTGCCCGCCAAGATGTTGCTTTTCTTGGTTCTGAATTTCTTAAACTTGACGGTGGGAGTCTTTGTCTTCATGGTCCTGTAATCTTTTATAGCACTATATAAACTCCTCTTGTTTTCCTTTTGTTGCTTGTTTTGCCAATTTTGCTTTTCTGTAGAGTAAGTAGGTGCAGAATATTAGAGCTCTCATCCCCCCATGTTAGGTTAGGGTTTGTTTCCTGCTGCTTTTACCATAATGGATTGCAGACCTTCGGTAGATCTTTATGCAAGGATATTGGGGCTTAGTTTTTTGAGACGCAGTACCAGGCAAAACTTCGACGACCAAGGCTTACAGTGTTGTTAGAGAAGATGTTATCGGGAATGCTGTTGGGCGTGGTATGAAGATGTAGATCATTAGGTTAAAAATAGAGAGGTGACGGTTTCTGGGCAGCCTGCCAAGAGAGCTTATTCGACAAATAGGCCCAGGCATGGCACTGTCCTCAGGGGGGGTCTCTGTCCGGGAATGGGGGTGTGGTGATCTATAAGGTGACTATGGTGGTGAAGACTTCAAAGAAGATATGTGGTTTTGATCCTTCTATTGATTTCCTGTTTTTTGTAATTTTTGTTTAGTTCCAATGTTTGCACAATCCAAGGGTTATAACTATGTTTGTTAGCCATGCTAGGATAGTTGACTACTTGACTTGTCTAACATGAGATGAGTGAACCCCGACCAGTCCTACTTAGGAACGACATTTCAATGGTTGTTCTAAGTTTGGCTGTGTTGTTCACTTGTTCTTTGTTTCTTTTGCTCCGACTTAGGGGGTGTTTGAAATTGATTATGCTTTTGTTTCTCTTTTAAAAGTAGAAGTAGAATCAGAATCAATTTTTTGCAAGTTGTTAAGATGGCGATCTAACTTGCTGAATCGTACGATTTTACGATCAGAAGAGGGAGGGTCGAGTTGGATCGCTGCTAGGATCGGAAATAGGTCTGGGATCGCCAGATCGACGAGTAGAAACGTAACTCGTATGAATCGTCGATCTAATCGAGCTGCGATTTCTCAGGAAAAAAAACGTGAAATGAAGGCAGACTGAAGTCTGGAACGGCGAGTTTTAAAAAAATTAAACATCGATGCCTTACGATGAAGTCCAAATGTGACCTGCAGCGTTAAGCTTCCCTGCTTCATCGGCTTTAAATCACTGTTGCCCTACGTTTTCTTCGTCTCTTCTCTGTTCTCGCTCTGTTCTGTGTCATCCGCTTTGTCCACTTTTTTTTTTAAATTGTCCGCTTCCTTAGTGGTTCATGGGCTCATGGCAAGTGGGTTATCTTTTTATTAAATCGTCCCCTTCGAATGTTATGTTAGGTGTTTTATATTATTGCTTTTAGTCTTGACATTATGTTATTAAAATTATAATTATATTATTCTTAATTATTAATATTTTTTTTGGAAGATTTAATATTAATATCAATTTGGTGTTTACATAGAATAAAATTGAATTATATATTTGGTTGTGTATAATATATATATATATATATATATATATATATAGGGAAGAGTTCAAATAAAAAGACCTCTTCCCGTGCAAAGTGCGAAGATATGCACTTTTGCATGTTTCGCTTGCACTTTTGCGTGTTTCTGTTGCACTTTTCGCGGTAACGAAAAAGTTCAACATATTTACGAAATTGCCACCGCGATTTTGGTCGAATTTTATGCATTTTTGGCTCATTTTGAGCCATTAGATGTGGAAATGAATGCACAAGATTCATTCTCACTTTGCATGGGAAGAGGTCTTTGTATTTGAACCATCCCCTATATATATATATATATATATATATATATATATATATTGCATGGTAGTATCTTACGATCCGAGTTATGATCCCCAGGTTACGATCTCCTAGACCCCGTCTGATCCATGCTAGGATCTTGAGTTTAACAACCTTGGTTTTTCGAATGCTGGTCTCCCCCAGCTTCTCAAAAAATGCTTCTAGGAGTAATTTGGAGCACTAAGAAGCACTTCTGCACTTCCACCCAAACACTCCAATATCTGTTTGTACCCCTTCAGGGTGCAGAAGCAATTTTAAGAAGCAAATCCAAACACGCTCCTAATAATATAAGTCCCCCCTCCCCATAAGTTGTTTTTGGCTAAAATGGATGTTACAAGACATTTTCCTTTCAAAATAATTCAGCTTATTCGGGCAAGTAACCCTTACCAAACGGGCCCTTAGACATATTCCACTAGTATGAGGTTATAGAATGTATGAAATGAACTAGGATGAAAGTATTCGATTTCAAAAGGACGTTACCTCTATAATTGTAAGAAAACAAGCTCTTTCAGCTATTAACTGGTTATATTAAAGATGAGCCTGAAGATTAACATTCTCATTGGTAGCCCGGGCTAGAGAAGACACTGAAAAAATTGACCATGATGTCAAGAGAAAAGCTGAAAGGCTGCATCATGTTGCCATTGTAAGTTTGTCTTTTTCTTTCTTCTTCTTCAAGCTATTCCTGGATCCAGAAAAAAATCTATAATACCCATTTCTTATTAGATTCTCAAGAACACAGCTGAATCAAGACTGAAAAATGCTGCAGACCTTCATTGGAGCAATGGAGCCTTAGAGGTTTCTCTTTCCTATCATTTTCATGATCTCTGTACTCCATATTAATCTGATATAGGCGTTTCTCTTATTATTATTATTATTATTATTATTATTAATACTAGGAAAGTGGAGAATTGTTGTGCATGTAAGTTATGTTTGGAGAGTTTGTTGGGAAAAGAGGTGGAGCTATATACTCCAAACTCGTCACATCTCATTCTTCTCATTTGGGGTATTTCAGAGGAGTTATATACTACGTATTTCTTAATTTTCTCTTTTCACCTTTTTTATCAATGTACATTATTAGTTGTTAAGATATGGATTAATATATTTTTAATTATAATAATTTTATCATCATCATCATTACCCAAGTGCCGCAAAGGCTCCCACCTACAGTGGGGTAAGGGGGTCAGATGTATGCAGCCTTACCTTTGTACTAAAGCACAGAGATTTTGTTTACAGGTGACCCATTGTGAAAATTGCGTCGAAAATTGTATGGACTGACTGCTGCTTCATAGCAAAGAAGCGCAGACAGTTTAGTGAGACATTTTGCTATACTCCATCATAATCCTAAGCCAAAAAAATAGTGAATCTTTGGTTCCATTGCAAATGATGGAAAACAAATATAATAGTTTAATACTCCATCATAATGTACTATCTGAAAATCATTCTCTTCCACTGAACCAAACAGAGTTTAATGCGCCAAACCCCCTCATGATATATTGTGCGCATTAGAAATTAGTTCTTTGTATGATATTATACAATGTTCTGTATCAACCTGCAATTCAGCGATATGAGAAAGCTTCTTCTTATATTCAGGCTGATTTGCGGCATGCTGATTTTGTTGCCAAACAACGTGCAATGGAAGATGCTTTTATGGCAGTGAAGGTGTTCTTATTACATAAAATTATGAGTTTTTGCCACTTTTAGTCCTCCAACTATTATGTTAGTGACATAACTGACACTTTTAATACTTAACTTTGAATTTTTCCACTTTCAGTCCTTCGAGTATTATGCCAGAGACACTGCTGGTACTTGTCTTTTATAAAAGTGAGACTTTTAGTCCTTTGAATGTGGTTTCGTCACACTAAGTAGATGACTAAAACTGTCTGTGTGATAATAGTTGAAGGACCAAAAGTGACAAATTTATAATAGGGACTAAATGTGGAAAAACTCAAAGTCGGGGATCAAAAGTGTCTCTCACAATATTCGAAGGACTAACAGTGGAAAAGCTCAAAGTTGAGTACCAGAAGTGTTACTAGCACAATAGTACAAGGACCAAAAGTCGTGGCAAAATCTCTAAAATTACTGTCAATTCAAAGTAATTTTCATTAATGAGAGTTATGGCATTTTCTTGATTGTCATGTTTGCTTTCTGGATTTTCAGTTTGTCAAAAACATTCATGACATGATGGTGAACAAAATGTGCAATTTGTAAGTTGTTTTTTGTTTGTTTGAACATATTGCTTGAAAAAGAAAATAGGGAGGAAATAGGGATGAAATTCTGAAGGAATGAAAATGTGGGGGGTTGCTTCAGACTCAATAATCAAATTCATATTTGTGTTCAAACTAATCTATATAGGGAAAAATAACAAAAATACCCCAAACTTTGAAGGGTTGTGAGATGAACACCCTAAACTTGCATATGTATTTTAAATACCCCAAACTTTATATATAAAGTTATTTTGGCACCTAAGTCAAGTATTGTTTCTTTCAAAAATGTAAATTTATGGTGTTAATTGCATAATTTAAAATATTTTAGAATTCATGAAGACACAATTAACATTATAAACTTCCATTGCAAAATAAATAATGTTATCCTCAATCTATATAATTACAACACTTTTAATTTGCTATTTGAAATTATGCAATTAACCCCATAAATTTACATTTTTGAAAGAAATAATACATAACAATGGTGCGAAAATAAGTTTTTATACAGGAAAAATTGATTGTAATAATCTCAACTATTGCCGGTCCGCTCATAATAATCCTAACTATCGATTATTTTAGAATAATCCCAACTTTAGGGACCTTCCGCCAATAATGGTCTGACGTGACCGACTATAAATAAATTCCTATAGTTTCTAAAGAGATATAGCAGTTAATCCCTATAAATAATCCCAAATTTTAATTTTTACGCTTAATTTCTATTGAAAATTCACTTGTTAGAGCAGGTAATATTGGCGGACGGTCCATATAGTTGGGATTATACAAAAATAATCAATAGTTGGGATTATTGTTAGCGGACCGGAAATATTTGGGATTATTATTTTCAATTTTTCCTTTTATATAAAGTTTGGGGTATTTAAATTACATACGCAAGTTTGGGGTGTTTACTTCACACCCCATCAAAGTTTGGAGTATTTTTATTATTTTTCCCATCTATATATTATACGTAGTATAAAACTAAGAAATGTAAATGTATATTTCTATTTAGATTTAGACTAGGGACCATTTCCCCGGTATTCTCTCTTTCTTCTCTACAGCTTTTACAGATTTCCAAACATAGCTTTAGTGATGGTGATTAATGCATCCTCTTATCACAGATTAACTGAGTAATGTTTGGTACGTTAATTCTGTGCAATAACAGGAATATGTGTTCTCTTAATGCCGCCATGATGACTCAGCACATTACACTTGAAAAGAATAGAAAAAGTCTTACATTTCCTCATGGAGAAATGTCTGCTGAGCGTATTACTGCTGTCCAGGTTCCAAGGCTATAGCAACTTTTCAAATGTGATGATTACATTGGAAGGTTTGGACGTGAATCACTTATATTGTTTTATCTGATTATTAATTACAGGAAGCTTATTGGGATATAGCATTTGCACTATCTGAAGCTGATGGGATTGACTACACTGATCCTGAAGAGGTATGAATATAAGTGGATTAACGATTGGTTGTGTTATGTTATACATGAACCCAAGCTTACCCTAATAGGCCGCCCCAAGCCATTTGGTGGGTGAGTACCCAACAAACCACCATCTTGTCAAGACTTATATCATGTAGACTTTCTCAGAAAGAGATCCTCGTGCAATATTTATATTATATTGATATGTTTGGCTCAAATATGGTAGAGAACCTGAATTGACCGACCCCCAAATGGGCTGCCCAAAACCATTGAATGGGTGGGTGACTCACAAATCACCTTGAAACCAAACTTTGATGTTATATTGAATTAGGTCTAACTCACCACAAAAGGAGTCTCCAGATGCGAGGAACAACATGCTAGAGTCAAACAAATTAGAAATCCAATGTGACATCCTGAAGATGTGTTATCATTTGACTTGCTTTTCCTGTTGGAGCAGCTGGAGTTGTTGGTTTCCACACTAATAGATCTTGATGCAATGGATGGTAAAAGTACTGTGTCTCTATTGGCCGAGTGTTCAAGCTCTTCTGACGTCAATACAAGGTTTGACGACGACTCGATCTAACATTTCCTTCGTCTTTACGTGTGCAACTTCCATTTGTAGGGCCTTGAAATTATGTCCCCACTTCTCTCATTTGGAAATCACTCACTAATCACTATTCATCTTACCAATTCACCCTTTCAGTCTCTTACTTCTTGAAATGAGTTGACGCAATTGGTCTTACTTCAGGGACAATTTGTGAAAAAGAATTACATTTTACTTGATTCCTGACATTTTTAACAACTCTCCTCCATAGGAAAGCATTAGCTAATGCACTATCCGCTGCACCGTCTATGTGGACTCTAGGCAATGCAGGAATGGGGGCTTTGCAGGTATTCAGTTAGTGTCATATATGTGCCTTTTCGTGTGTTCTGATAAAATATCTCTCATGAAGCTACACGAATAAACTGGAAACCCCCTTTTGATTGTTGTGATCGCAGAGGCTGTCAGAAGATAGCAACCCAGCCATTGCAGCGGCAGCATCCAAAACCATCAAAGAGTTGGAGAGACAGTGGGAAATAGAGGAGGGAGATTGCTGGAGGTTCATGGTTAAGGATAACTCACAACATGATGATGATGATGATGCAGGCATCTAATAATCAAATAGAAACCTATACATATACATACATAAGTTATCCAGAGATTCTGCTCAACAACTCAACTGTGCAGATATTTAGATGTTCTTTGGATTATTATACTGATTAGTTAATTATGTAATATCAAACTTATGTTTGGTACAACAAGTATATGCCAAGATTATCGTTTGGACTAAAGGCTATATGCCTGGTGCTGCGTTTGAGGTCACTGAATTTGAAATGCTAACTAAATACAGTAGTAGTGATGTTAACTGAATAAAGTAAAATAATAATGACATGTAAAAATGAGAACTCACATTAACTACAATGCCTTGTTTGACTAGCGGGTTAAGTTGGCAGGTTGCCAAAAATGTTTGGTAAATTAATTTGTTACCTTTAGCAGTTGGCATGTAAAATTGATATTGAATAATTTATTATAAAAAGCTAACCTAAACGCTACTATTCTCAGCATTTTCAATTAGGCGTTTTGTCCCAAATGGCTAAGCTCACTGCTCACCATTGTTTACCAAATATATAAATTTTTGTATTTCCATCAACAGCAAATGGCAAAGTGAGTCAAAAACGATGAGTTTTTGTGAAATCCTGACATGATCAAAGCCATCATTCTAATTTACAAACATGAGATCCATATGGGATCATATGAAATACATATGAGAGAGTTGTCAAGTCAAATTAAATTGTAGCTCTTTTATTCATAAGAGTGGGTTGACAATTACACTAGGAGGCATGGCAGCCATTACTAGAGTTTGAAGCTCAACGTAGAAGTTGACTTGGTTAGGGATGCTTGTAAGGTTTACAGCTTTTGAACATAAGTTCTCGGAACTTAACATCTCTTAGTTTACCTTTGAGCTCGCCGCCTAAAAGTAACTATAGTATGGTAGTATACAGCTTTCAGATATGGATTTAAATGGAAATATACAAACATTAACTTCTCATTTCATCTATTTTTTCTAACATCTCCTAATATTAGGGGTGGATTCGATATTATTTTTGGAATTGGATTAGACCAGAACTTGGCGGGTATTTTACTAGGACCAGAACGACCGTTTAGAGAAGACAAGAACCGGCCCAACCCTAGTTCAGTATTGGTTCCTTTTTCATTTTTTATATTTTTAAGTTTTATAATATATTTAGTTAATAATATAATACAATAGTGTAACATATTAAATAATAATATAAAATATAAAAATAGTTTTAGCATATTTAGATAATAACATAATACAAAGTATATTATAATAAAATATACTCCATGTAATTTGATGTGATGTGATGTGATGTGATATGATATAATATAAATCATTTTAAACTTGCTAGCTATGAAACATTTTACATTATTATAGTTGTTTATATGGTGACATTTTGCATACCTTAAAACACAACTTCATTCACGTTCAAGAATAATTTTTTGATGTTAGCAAAATATATTTCATAATTTATTTAAAGAATTGAATACAAAATATGAAGATGCGTTTTTAAAAGAACAAATAAAAATCATTTGAAGAATTAAGATTACTTCTTTTGTTGTGTGAACATCGCGATTAATGAGTTTTTTTGTATCTCACATTTTCTAAGTATGAAGAAGGGGTGAAGTTTGACATACTACAATGGTGGAAAAATAAAGAAGCAATTAGGGATGGACTCGGGCCGGGTGGCCCGACCCGGAACCGGCCCGGGACCGGTACTGTTCCGGCCCGGCCCGACCCGGTGGCCCGGTCAGTGACCGGTCCGGGTAGGCCCGGCCCGTGGGTTTTCCGGTCCGGGCTCGGGTCACCCAAAACAAGGCCCGACCCAGCCGGGCCCGGGCCCGGTTCGGGCCAAAAACTATTTTTTTCAATTTTTTTTAAATTTTTGGGTTTGGGTGGGTATTTTGGGCCATTTGGGGTGGTTTGGGGGTTGGGGGTGGGAGGGGGGTTAATTAGGAAGAGGAAAAAAAAATTATAATGGGCCCGGCCCGGACCCGGTGGTTACCCGGGCCGGTCCCGGGTCCACCATTTCTGACCCGCCGGCCCGCCCGGGCCTAGGCCCGACCCGGGCCCGGCTCGAACCCGGGTCCATCCCTAGAAGCAATGCTTCCCATGTTACTAATAAGGCAAAACAAGTGGTATTCATGCTCATGTCGAGTGTCAACTATTGCAGTGAAACAAGAACTTAGTGACATAGAAAACATTCTCACTGATTATAGGACTCGTGTGAGCGCAAGTTCAATTCAACCGTTCATTTATTTCCGTGATTGGCTAAAGGCAAAATATCATACAGAGGAATGAGATATTGCATTGATAATTTCATAGAAGAAAATACCATGAATGGAGTAAATGGTAGATCATTTTTTTGAGAGAAAATGACTTATATTAATATCATATAATTCAACCAAACAAAAAAAAGACCAGACACAGTAGACAAGCAAGAAAGACCAGAAAACATTATTCGATCGATGATAATCTACACTTCGGCAATAGGACCAGACGCATTAATATTCTTTGGGATCAGACGCAGAAACTATCACTCACTCATGAGCAATAGGATTCGCTAATCTACACTTCAGCAACTGTAAAGCCAATCATGATCGTCGATGTATTCTCGTCACATATCTTATACTGCACTTGCCCCAATCCAAAACTAAAAAACAATATTTTATACCTAACACCAAAAACATCAACGGAAAACAAAGTAACGTAATCAAACATAGCGCGAAAATAAGACCATAAAATATAAAAATAACTGGTAAAAATTCCAAATTTAGTCCTGTCAATTTTCTTAATCACTCCACGACGGCAGGTCGCCGATCTGTCTTTTTCCTTGCTCTAGGACCTCCAAGTTTGGTGCAAATCAGAACGTCCAGAAACATAAACCATAGAGAAGCAAGCAAACCATGGAGAAGCACAACGTGCTAACGGCGGCCATCCCACTGTCGCTCCAAATCATGTGTCATACAATAAACGACGCAAGTCACCTGTCGAAGAAAACAAACCCTAGACGAAAGCTAGGGAGAAACGTCGGCCGCAAGCTACAAGCCCCACCGGAAAACGCCGCCCCAAGAACCCTACGGAAGAACTCTTACTGAAAAGCAAATTCAAAGCTCCAAAACACAGAAACTACAATTGATGAAATTGCAAGAGCAGCACCGCCAACAACATCCTTCAATCTCCCATCGAGCCTAGCTTGGAGCAAGAGCAACGGCGGCGAAATTAACCAAAACCTAGGTAAATGGTAGATCTAGAAAATAGAAGTTATTTACTTCCATATTTTTAATGTTAAAAGCTGGATAATTTATACTTCGTATAATTAAAATAAAGAGCTACATTGGCTTTGATTTCTCTACAACTCTAAACATAATACAGAGACACCTTTTAACGAAATGAAGCCAATTTGTTATTAAGAAGATACCTAAAATATGGTTTAATATTGGCTTACTTTTAATGCATTTTTATACTTGTTTATTACTCCCTCCGTCCCCGTAATATTGGGAAGGAAGAGAGAAGCGTGATTTTTGAGAAAAATAGAATTATGTGGTTGATAATGAGTCAATAAAGTGGAAAAAAAGTAAGAATGAATTAGAGTTACACAATTTATATCAAATATAGGGCTGGGTTCGGTTCGGGTACCGAACTAATTAAGGTTAATGATACTCATGTAATTTCCGATTGTATGTTTGTACTTTTAACTAGTTTTTATTAGTTCTAGTTGTGGAAATTACACACTTTTGGTTTAATACTTTATTTTCATATTTATTTGTAAATTGTTTAGATTAGGACTTTTCTGAGCTAAACAGGTCAAAGATAATCTAAAGGATCAAGATTGGACCTCAAAAGATCAAGGAAAGTGCAAACAAGCAAGAAAGATTTCGATTTGGATAAAATACTCTTATACCCGATCAAGTAATTGCTTGATTCGATTGTCACATACCCAATCGGGTATGCCGACATACCCGGTCGGGTATGCCCAGAAAAGTGACTTTTCTGGGAAATTTTCCTAAGATACCCGATCGGGTATCCTATATATCCGGTCGGGTATCAGACCCTGCAGCTCCCAAAAGCCTATAAATACACCTCTTTTCTTCACAATAAAATCACCAATTCGTTTATACTTCTAAGCTCAGTCTAGATTAGTTCTTTATATTTTTATCATGATTAGTCTTCAAATGAGGAGCTAAACTCTTCCATCTTGGTTTTGCTACTTTGAAGCTTAATGAATTTGTAAGTTGTGAGTTATTCTCTTTAATTTTCTTCCTTGAATATTAATTATTCTTTTAAATACTATTTCTATATCAATGTTGGGGAGTGTTACTAAGATGACAATTAGTTAACATCTTGACATTAGTTATAGTAATAGTTATTTCTTCCACTATGTTAATATTGGGGAGTGTTACTAAGATGACAATTAGTTAACATTTTGATATTAACTATAGTAGGATTCATCTTCTTTAATATTCTTTTTTGAGTATTAATAATTCATATTCATATTTCATATTAATATTTTGAACATTACTTAAAGGATCAACTAGTTTTGTTTCATATATTAATTATTACTAGAATCGATCAACGAATACGCTTGTTAACCGTTTGATCGTTTCATGGTAGTAAACTTGGGTTATTAATGCATGCGTTTCATGGTTAATAAACCAAGGGGAATTAATTATGTTGATTAAACCAAAAAACCGCTTGTGTTGAGGTTATCAATCTCAATCTTTTTCATCTTGATTTTATTGCTACTATCGGGTTAATATACGGCGTGTGTTCTATATTAACTCGGTAGTAAGTTTTATTAATGAACACGTCTCGTTATTAATAACTACCCTCGATGAACTGGATATACTCCTCGATTGAGTATTCGAGAGGAAGATAGTTAAAGATATAACCGGGATCGACGAACATTTCATTAAGTGGATAAAAGCAAAACTAAGTCTTCATCTCTATTAAAGTAAACCACATAAGTCATTCATCTTAGTGTTAATTAATTAAAATCAAACACAACTGAAATCCCCCCCTTTGTTACTAGTTACAATATAAAAGAAAAATATCCCTTTCCGTGTGGATACGAGCCTTACTTCAATATACTACGTATATTTGTTGTATTGATTATAATTTTGAGTGCACACCACGACAAAGTGCACGTCAAATTTAGCGCCGTTGCCGGGGAAAGGCAATTATTTTTCTTTTTATTTTATTTAAAAAAAATAAAAATAAAATAAAATAAATATAAAAAAATTACTTTTCTATTTTCTGAGCTTACATGAGTATATGGATACCAACACATCATCCTTAGAGAGTCAAATTT